CCCGAGTGCTCACTGGAAGGACAGATCCTGAAGCTGAGGCTCCAATACTTTGGCCATCTCATGAGAAGAGAAGACTTCCTGGAAAAGACCCTGATGTTGGGAAAGTGTGAAGGCAAGAGGAGAAGGGGACGACAGAGGATGAGATGGATGGACAGTGTCATCAAAGCAACCAACATGAATTTGACACAATTCCAGGAGGCGGTGGAGGATAGGAGGGCCTGGCGTTCTCTGGTCCATGGGGTCACAAGGAGTCGGACACGACTAAATGACGAGTCTGATCCCCACTGACCGCTAATTCTGGTTTCCCTGCTGTGCCGCACATGAAGAGCAGTGAATTTGAGGAGAAGAGCCTTAGCTATCCATGAGTGTCTCCATGCGAAGTTAGTTAGTTAGGCATCCTTCAGTCTTGAAAGACTATGGTAACATGCTATGGAGGACTTGGAACACTGTCTAGTGAACGGCGTCCATGTGAAACAAGTGGTTGATTTCCCAGGTCCCGACTCATGAAATGCTTCCATGGACAACATAGGTTCAGCTTTTCAGAATTCTCACTTTTTGGATGTGGGAGAGCATCTAAACTGTTTAGGTGGGAGAGCATCTAAACTGGAGTCAAGTGGGGTCAGAGCAGCTGCTTTTATCCATGGTGAGCATACACTGTTTGTGGGGCGTATAATTCTACTTCTTCATGTAGCGGAAGAGCCCATTAGAAACGTCATTTATTTTAGCTGTAGCCAAGAGAGAGAGAGAGAGAAAAGGGAGGGCAATCTGTACTTCAGAAGGAAGCCTTTAATGTATTGACCAAGCGGAACGACAGCTATTTTCAAGAGAAGAAAACTGAAATATATGAAGAGTGACCGGGGGGGGGGAGGTAAAATTCGCAAATGACAGAATGAAGTCATCAAGGTGTAAAAAGATGTTAAGGCTCTGAGCTTTGTAATGTTCTTATTGAAATGTCCTCACTGATTTGCTGCAGATACTGTTAACCCTGTGTTTGGAAAACTGGGGGGGGGGGAACATTATCGCTGGTGTTCTCATTTGTAATAAAATAGATTAACTTGCTGTGAAATTTTAACTAGAGGGAGACACAACAGTAGCTACCTAATGAACCACAACTCATTGCTGTTAAGTGGCTTAATAGATGCATACTGATTACGGAGCTGAAAAATGGATCTGTTTGCGTGCGAAGAAGGAACCGTCGCATATATTATGGCAAAAGATAATCGTGGCTGCCTTTCATTTTACAAAGTGTCTCAATCTATATCCACAATCTCATCGCCAAGCCCTTATTTATTCACTGGAGCTAGTGGCGTGGAAATGTATTTTACCGCGAGTCAAGACACTGAGATTAGTTAGGCGCTACCTGCAGCTACCCAATACAGGGAAAAGAAAGATGTCGCCCATCACATACTTGTCCCGCACGCTTATTTGAAAAGGATGCTAATTTCTGTTTTCTTTTGAACGTGGTCCCTTTGAGTGGTTCAGTGGACAGAGTGACGAGCTAGGACTCTGGAGAACAGGGTTCGATTCCTCGCTCAGCCACGGAAACTCCCTGGGGGGTGTGGGACTGGTAAAATTACTCCTTAAATATCTCACTTACCATGGAAGCCCTATCACTATAATTCCTTTTCGATTTGACAGCACATAATATAACTGGCAAGTTAAGCAGTTCTGTGGTTGTACTTTGGTTGTAAACAAAAATGGTAGGCAAGTGACAGAAAATGATGGACAGTTCAGCCCCGGAACTAAACCCTAATTATATATACACACCACTAGTAGAACACAGAAGCAAACACATTGTTATTAAAAGAACTGCAAAGAATTCACCTTAATCTCTATATTATCCTGCAGGTATCACAACTATTATCATCTCCTACCACCTGCTATGGATTATCCATCTGTGATCTTGTAGTCACTGCTGATCATAATTTTTAGAGTATTAACGTGTTTCCCCGAAAATAAGACAGGAATTTTTGGAGTATTAACACGTTTCCCCAAAAATAAGACAAGGTCTTATATTAATTTTCGCTCCAAAAATGCATTAGGGCTTTTCAGGGGATGGTTTTTTTTTTTCATGTGCAACAATCTACATTTATTTGGATACAGTCCATGTCCTCTTCTTCCGGCTGCTGCACAAGGGTGGAGGGCGGGGTTTCCCTTCACTGGGGCTTATTTTTTGGGTAGGGTTTATATTACAAGCATCCTGAAAAATCATACTAGGACTTATTTTCAGGTTAGGTCTTATTTTCGGGAAAACAGGGTGATAATGACTTTGAATGGTCCGTGTTTTCCCTAATTCCCTGTTCCCCCTGCCCAAGAGTCATGCATTCCCTTTTTAACCTGTTCTGCTGGTGCAACTTTTAATATAAATAATGTCCTTCAGATTTCACCCAGACCAGCAGTTGTGATGTCAGTATAACGGTGAATCAGTTCTGTATTTTAGTCTCCACCTCACAGGAGTTATCTATTGTGCTGAAACATATCCTCTTGACAGGTCCAGAATCTGGAATAGTTCCTTTAAAGTTTGACCCCAAACCCCGAGTGGATTGCCTGGTCCTGCTGGCAATGGAGCTGGCAACCCATTTAACATTAAACATTTGAGTCACTAATCTCAGACCACTTTTTCATGGAAGAATAAACCAGGATTTTAGACGTGCGTTCAGTCCAGTCCTGCTTTTTTTTTTCCTCTGAAGAAATGCAACCTCTAAAGCCAAGGATTCAAATCAGGTGGCCCTCTAAATGTTTTTATGTCCCCAGAAAGCAACAGCAAACCCTCTCCCCACTAAAAAGTTGTGAGATGAACTCTTAGGTAGCTGAGTGGTTTAAGTCTCTGGCTGCAGAGCCATAGGTGTAGGGAGTTCAATTCCCCCTCGGTGCCTCCTTGGCAGGGTCCGGACTCCATAATCCACAGGGCCCCTTCCAGCTTCTGCAGTTCCAAGATGATTATTCCAAGATGATCATTATGCCTCTTAGAAGGCTGTCTTTTAAAACAAGGAGTGGCTGCCCTATGAATATTGTTTCAGTAAAATATCTATTTGTTTAAAAAAGGAAAGTATTTTTTAAAACCAAAAACCAAAAATGATATTCTGGCTATTTCCAGTTTGATTTGGAGGAGCTGTTGTGGCTCTGGGGAGCCCTAGGAAGAGGGGGGAAATGAGACTCTGACCTTCCAGATTGACATAGATTAGGTTTTGTTCCTGTTATGCTTCTGACTTGCGTCAACCCTATAAATGAACAGTTTCCCAAATTTCCTGTCCTCACGAACCCTGCTCAGCTCTTGTAAAGTCAAGCCTGGGGGGGGGAAATGAGACTCAGACCTTCAAGATTGCCCTCTATTCTAAACAAATCTGGAATTTTTTTTATAAATCAGGTTTTGTTCCTGTTACGCTTCTGACTTGCATCAACCCTATGAATGAACAATTTCCCAAATTTCCTGTCCTCAAGAACCCTGCTCAGGTCTTGTAAAGTCAAGCCTGTGGTTTCCTTTAGGAAGTCAATCCATCTTGTATTTGGCCTTCCTCTTTTCCTGCTCCTTCAACTTTTACCAGCATGATTGTCTTTCCCAGAGAACCCTGCCTTCTCGGTTTTGTTCCTGTTATGCTTCTGACTTGCGTCAACCCTATAAATGAACAGTTTCCCAAATTTCCTGTCCTCACGAACCCTGCTCAGCTCTTGTAAAGTCAAGCCTGTGGTTTCCTTTAGGGAGTCAGTCCACCTCGTATTTGGCCTTCCTCTTTTCCTGCTGCCTTCAACTTTTCCCAGCATGGATTGTCTTTCCCAGAGAATCCTGCCTTCTCAGGATGTGCCCAAACTAGCACAGCCTCAGTTTCAACATTTTTGTAGGGCTGGAACAAACTAATCTAGTTTTATTCAATTTTCTCTTTATAAAATGATACCATCGCCATTTCTGCAGCAATGTCTTATACATTCCATAGACAAATGACCCAGGGTTTCTTCCAAACGATTTAAATCAAAAATGCCCTCAAGATACAGAGGCGCATAAAAAGCGTAGGATAAATTGCTCTTTATTTAAGCTTTACAAATATTTTTAATTAGTAGGCTGACATTGTCAATAATTAGATGCGTCTCTTTTAAGTTTTATTAGTTATTGCATGCTCATTAAAGAGGAGATAATTAGTTTAAAAGGCATGCCTGCTGAAGATTAACCACTATATATGCATCTGTTATATGATTTTGTTGTTCAGTTGCTATTGAACATACAGTAGCGCCACTGTTAAAAAGATACTTCAGGCGGCTTTTTCTGCGTGTATGGAAGAGACAAAGGCTGCACAGCACAACCAGTATAACAAACAAAAACACACAAACAAACAAAATCAAAAATCTAACTTATATTCCAGTGTGAATTCAAGTCCACTTCCTTAGATGCTGGAGTAAGAATATATGACTGGCTTACTTAAGCATAGTTTAGGATACAGATAAGAGACAGAATGACAATGGTCCATTAGCATAGGAATGGGATTACTGAGCTGTAAATTATTCCACTGAGTCATTTATATATAGAATCGGCACAGGAAGTGAGTTTACAACAGCAATAATGATACAAACGGTAAATTGTGGGGATGTTCCAGAGTCTCATATTTGTCAATGAGCTAAGAATTCCTGGCCAATGTTTCATCCCTTTGTCACACTGTGGAACTTATGTACATATCTTCAGCTGGCTCTGTTTTCAGCCACCTTTTTTAAAGGTTCTTTTTCCCCCTATGACAGTCACTTTCAGGTCAAAATTCAAAACATTAAACGACATCCAGCAGCGAAGGCCAGAACTGAAATAGGCTTTTCTGTCGTCTTGTTCTTTCCCCTCTACCTCCTTGTAAACACTGCCCTGCATTTTGATTAACCTCTTCTTTGGTTCTCCTGCAAAGAGGCTTGGGACGTTGTTGTCTCGCTCAGTGGGTTGTGTGGATAAGCTGATCACTAGCCTGGGCCATTGGTGGGGACCCTTCCCTGGTTTCCTATTGATGTGCTTTCTCTCTTTTTTCAAGGAGAGGATCCAAGACAGCCCTTCACCTGCTCCGTCGGTGGAAGAGAGTCAACGACCTGGGAGCCATGCCTCTTCTCATCAAAGCAGCAGCATTTCGAGTTCCCCATCCCAGCTGGACAACACACCAGATAGAATTGGTTGGTAGTTGGTACTCTTGTAAGGTTCAGAACAGTGGGCATTGCCAACAGCCAAAAATAAGGGGAGAAAAACATCTCAGAAGACCAGATATTTCAGCTTTATTCTGTAAAAAGCCCAGTGTTTCAGTTTTCTCTTGGGTTTAATCTATCATCTCCTTATGTATTTATGGGGGGGGGGATTCTGTGATTTTTTTTGAAACAATTTATGGCATGAATTACCTCTTGTGTAAGATTCTGTCAAATTCAGTTTAATGGTCACAAAGGAAAAAGACATTCTATGAGTACAAAGTGAAGTCTCAATGCACAAGCATAAAGACAGTAAAATATTATAGACAAGAACATCTGTTGAATAGATATTCTAGCATCCTTTGGAACTGGCAGAAATAGACTCGGTTTTTATTTTTTCCCCTCTAGAATTGGGGTCCAGTATTACTTGCAGGTCAAAGGAGATAGCCAGAGATTGTTCAATAGACCTTGAAATATCTGGTTTATATAAGCCTACAAATCAAACTTTGTCTTCTGATATTATAGCCCTTTCTCCCAATATTTTGTGAAATAGTGGTAGTACATTGATGATGCTTTATCTGTAGGAGACATGAACATGTTCCAAAATATTCTTTTTTAGGTAGGTGGAATGATCAAATGAATATATTCACTGTGATTGCAATCCTGTAGTAAGTTGCAACTGAAGTAAGCCCATGAATCAGTGGAGCTTTCATAGGTCCTGACAAGAGGTGGGGTATTTGTATTCGTGTATGAATATCCCTCCCCCACAGGTGCAGATAACGAGGGTTCAGCCCCCTGGGGCTAGACTGACCACTCACGATTCCGCCACTGCCGCAAGCTCCGCCCACCATTCCTATCACTCCGGAGCTCGCGATCACGGAGCCGCTCTTCGACCTGGCAAAGAGGCTCGTCACCCGACCACTCACAGTTCTGCCACTCCGGAGCTCGCGATCATGGAGCCACTCTTCAACCTGGCAAAGAGGCTCATCATCCTACCGTCTGTAATCTTAAGCCATTTGCATGTGCCACATAGAGTAAACCAACTGCATTAATTTTACTAGAAGAATAGATTTTTTAAAAAATGTAATCTTAAGCCATTTGCATGTGCCAGATAGAGTAAACCAACTGCATTAATTTTACTTAAGTGTTGTCTTGACAAGTCCCTTCATCTCTAGCTGAAACTTGTAATAATTTAGTCCTCTATAACCTGTTATGTATGAATAATACCTTAATCAACCAAGAAATCAGATAATCCCCAAATCCTACACAACCTCGTGATTTAGCAGGTGGCACATTATGAAAAAAATTGCTCTCTCGGCGGTGCAGATTATTGTTTTTGAATTGTCATTCATCAGTTTGGGTTGTTAACCATCTAGCTGTCTATCTCTCTCTATTAAGTGAGAAGAATTACAGATAATTACCTATTCTTTAAATCCTCCGGTGTATTAAAAACATTTTTCATCTGAAATTATTTCCACGCATCGATCTTATTAATTAGTTTAATTTGAACGTTTCAGGGGAAATCCCTCTCAGCCAGCTGATCGTTCTCAGCTCCTTTCCTGATTTTTCTTGGTGTTACACCGGCAAGCATATTTGGTTGTTGCACAGAAGAATGTGTTTTCTTCTCTAACGGGGCCAGAGGTTTATCCTATGGGAGGTGGAGTGACACTGAGCCAAAACCTGGGAATTATATTCAAAGGAGATACCGTATTTTTCGCACCATAAGACACACTTTTTCCCCACAAAACAGGGGGGTGGAAAGTCTGTGCGTCTTATGGAGCAAAGAAAACAGATTATATTTTCCTGTTTTCTTCTCCTAAAAAATTGGTGCGTCTTATGGAAAGGTGCGTCTTATGGAGTGAAGTACTTCAAAAAACTCCCAGAATCCTTTATGCTGCCTGAATTCCGGGAATTATAGTATGAAATGTAATTCCCCTGCATTTTACATGCCACTAGTAGAAACAGGATACTGATATGTTGAAAGACTTAAATTTTTAAAAAAGGTCATGTATCTCATTGAGCTGTATATGTCATGACCAGCAAGGCACAAAATCTTGGACACCATAACTGTTAACCTCTTTATTGGTAGGTGATGCAGTGTTTATTATAAAACCTGGTTCCCTTAAAAGGATGTGTGACAGAATATTAGTTCCTGAACCATTGTTTCAGGATCTTGTAATATTGATAGTTTAGGTGTATGGTTGGGGAACCAGAGGTTGGTAGTTCGATTCCTCACTGGGCCTCCTTGACAGAAGCTCGACTCGATGATCCATAGGGTCCTTTCTATATCTGCAGTTCAAAGAGGATGATGATTGAAATCCATGTCTGTAAAGATAAGGGAAATTTCGTAGAAGTTAATTTGGAGATGATACTTATCTCCAGTGATTGTCTGTAAAGATAAGGGAAATTTCATATAATTTGGAGATGATACTTATCTCCAGTGAAATTAAATCAAATAGATATTAATTATTCTAAGTTGTGTTGGACAGGATGTTGAGACTGCAATAACTTGGCCTTCTGTGCAGCTGACTTATCAGTGAAATTATTGAGAATCCTCTCAAACTTGCTTTTCAGTCTCTCTCCTTTCTCCCACTTTGTTGCAGGTATGTTATCAAATACTCGAGAAGGAGAGCCGGTGGATCCAGAAGGTGGGCCCATTCCCAAAAAACTCCCAAAGGAAAAAGGTACTTTATTCTCTCACCAAAAACTGCAGATTGGGCTTCCTGCTGTCTTGACATCGTTTTAAAACTGCCTTAGCTCCTGTCCAGTTCACGATGGTCTTTGGGTCTATAGATCAATAAGGAGAGCAGTGTGTCATTCATGATTTGTTTTGGACGTGGGATGCTGTTTGTGTTTGCTGCAGAGCCACCTGGAGCTTATCAGCTAACAGTGAATAAACAATGTGTGTTTTCCAGTGTGAGAATCTAACATATACTTCCCCAGTTAGCCATCCTTGAAAAAAAGAGAATTTCTCAACCTCTTGTGAGGCCTTGTTGCAATGAAGCTGGCCCTTTTTAAAAAGCAGCATTAGTGGTGTTGTTATTTTTTAAAGCGTCTGTTTTGTACAAGATTCCATCTTATGTTTAAAAAAAACTGTTTTAGTGCAAGAACTTTGCATTTTGCATTTTAAAACCTTGGTTTTTGTACAACATACGGGTTTTCCTAGACAAAATACAAGCCTTTTTGCACAAATTCCTAGGTTTTTTAAAATCTGCACAAAAAGCACTTCAGTGAATTTTTGTTTTCACCAAAAAGTCCCCAAATGAGGAAAAAAAGCACCAACACTCTGGTTATGTCAGTTAGCTATATCAACTAGTAATATTGCCACCTACGAAGACATAATAAAAGAAGGCTTACCTCCCTAGTCCAATGGCTTTCTGCAGCAGAGTCAAGCGAATGTGTTTCAGTCAAGTCTTAAGAATGTTAGTGGCCTTCTTCCTCACAGAGATAAGAGCTCTAGTTATAGGCTATCCAAGGTTTGAGATCCGTGAAATGCAATGGAGAAATGAATAGGTAGGTAAAGAACACACCAGTGTTTATGCTGCCTTCAAAAGGACATGGTTATATTTAACGAACCGGCACAAGGGGAGTATTTTATGCACAGGTACTGCTCCGTAGCTCCTCCTAGTTTGTGTGTGTGTGTTTTTGCTTTGGAATATGTGCTTGGCTTCTTCCCTTCCTGCCTTGAGAGACCACACCGATGCTGCAGCACAAATGCAGTTATTTCAAAATGACGATATGAATTCTCTGAGACATTAGAGTTCCCAATGCAGTGTAGTGGACATTACTGGCATGCAAGTTTTAATCACACCTACCGTGTTTTCCCAAAAATCAGACAGTGTCTTATATTAATTTTTGCTCCAAAAAAACCACAACAAATTAGGGCTTATTTTCAGGGGATGTTTTATTTTTCCATGTGCAACCATCTACATCTATTCAAATACAGTCCTGTCCTCTTCTTCTGGTTGCTGCACAAGGGTGGAGGGCAGGGTTTCCCTTCACTGGGACTTATTTTTGGGGGTAAAGCTTATATTACAAGCATCCTGAAAAATCATACTAGGGCTTATTTCCAGGTTAGGTCTTATTTTCGGGGAAACGGGGTATCCATCCCCATTGCAAAGTTCACAAAGTGCCCACAGACCAACCATCATCTTCCAGTTCAGGGTGGGCGATCTGCAGTCTCGTATGACCTACGTATACTGTGTAGTTTACCAGCAGGGCTGGCCCTAACTGAAGGCAGAGCGAGGTGGTTGCCTCTGGAGGCTCAGGGCTACAAGGCAGCTTTGGTGTTCACCTCCAGCTGTTGCCTTCCGTTTTCAGATGCCATCGGCTTGTCATGAAGCATCATCTAAACAAGGGTTTCCCAACTTTGGATTCCCAGATGTTCTTGGACAACATCTCCCAGAAATCCTGGCTAGCACAGCTGTGGTGAAGGTTTCTGAGGGCTGTAGTCCAAAATCTGGGGACCCAGCGTTGGGAACCATTGCTCAAAACTAGCCTGCTGATTCCAAACGTTGTTAAGGAGCTTATCCCTTTGTTGATGTTTAAACAAGATGCTGCCGTTGATCCAGCTGGTTTCTGTAGACAAGGCACTATCTTCCCATCTACAGTGGTGCCTCACTTAACGATGATAATCCATTCCAGGAAAATCATCGTTAAGTGAAAACATCGTAAAACGAAATTAAAAACCCCATTGAAACACTATGAAACTCGTTCAGTGCATTCCAATGGGGTAAAAACTCACCGTCCAGCGAAGATCCTCCATGTGGCGGCCATTTACGCTGCCTGCATAGGGAGGAATCCGTCCCTAAACACAGTGGGGAGCCATTTTAAGCACCCGGTGGCCATTTTGAAACCGCCAATCAGCTGTTTTAAAAAACATCATTTTGCTAAGAATCGGTTCCCGAAGCAGGGAACCGATCATCGCAAAGCGAAAAGACCCTATTTAGACCATCGCTTCGCTATCACAAAAAGATCGTCGTACAGCAATTTTGTCATAATGTGGGGCAATTGTTAAGCGAGGCACCACTGTACAGCAAAACATCATGGAACACAGCCTTGCTCATGGGCCATGCAATGTATCCTACTTGCCATGTATATTTTTCCCTCCACAATTGCTGCTTTCCCAAACTCTACCACTTGTGTCTTTCCGTGCTACTCTTAGTACTGCAATTATTAATATTATTACGCTACTAATTCCAGTAAAGTCTTTCAACATTATTATTAAGCCCATGTGTTGTGAACTCAAAGGATCCATGCCTATTAAGTATGACAAGTTAGCAGTTCACACAAGCATGGCAAACATATGGTTTCACATCTGGTTTGGGTAATATCATCATGATTTTTAGAATGATTTATAGTTCTGCAGGCCATAGACTGCCTGCTTTGCTGTAACTTCGGGTTTTCCAGACCTTGAGCCAATTACAGAACACATGTAGTGGGTAGTGGAATAGTTTCAGAGATTGGATAGTTGCCTACACCTTAATATACTTCAAAATGTTTGTCATTCTGTCACCTGTGGAATCTCCAGTTTCAGGACTTATGTATTGGTAGAGCTCTGTATATTTCAGGTGAGGCAGTTGTGTTTCCCCAGATGTTGTTAGGTTGCACCTTTTACTATTGCCTGTGCTGGTTAAGGGTTATGGGAATTGATGTTCCCCAGCAAGAGGCCCCCAGAAGTCATCAAGTAGAAACCAGGCCTTCTCAGTAAGGAAGATTTCCCTCCCGAGCTTCAGGAAGCAAATCAAAATCTGGCTCTTTACCCGGAGTTTTGAAAACCTTCTTAATTTCAATTCTGACGCTATTTGGTGATGACCTAGGGATGATGGTCAATGGTCTGTTGCTTAATTCAGTTGTTTTTTTTTCGCTTCACCATCTTGAGATTTAGCAACGTTTGTTAGACAGGGTTTTTTTTAAGGGTAGATTCTTGCTTTTCCCTGGTTTATTATTTCAATTTTTGTCTGCACATTATAGTTACCATTACGTACGGTGTGACTTGTGTTCTGTAAGATAGAGGGTGACCCTCACTTGTAAAAAGCCCTTTTGAAGAGTGCCAGCCTCAGGAGTCGACAGAACTTTTGTATTTCTCTCCCATAAGCACAGTGCCAAGACTTGGCTTCAGGCAGCTGGCTTTGTTTGGCTCCGAGGCTGGGTGAGATGAACTTAGTAGAGGTGCTTCTCCCTCTCCCGATGGATGTCAAGTTGGCTCTGGAGTGGGACAAGAGGTTCTGTTTGCCACGTGTGTTACTCCAGTTGATCTCCACCATCCATTGATTTTTCTGAACTAACAGAGATGGGCATGAACCGCCAGTTCGTTTGGCAAACAAACAGGTGTTTGGTGCTTCCCAGCCTTCTCTGGCGGGCGCCAATTCATAGGCAGCACCCCAGCATCTCTGCCCCATCTCCTCCCGGGGCTGGTTCAGAGTGGGTGCTCGCCGGGAAGGGCTGGGAAGCACTGAACACCTGTTTGGCCATGAAACGAACTCGTGGTTCGTGCCCATCTCTATGAACACATAAAGACGGGTGCTTCAAAAACAGTTATTTGAAGATAATATGAAAGGGCTTCACCACTCTCGATTCAGAAGGAGGAACCTACCTAGGTTTGCAAGAGCTTTCTGTTATATCAAGGGACTGAAATCCTGCTGCTTACCATAGTAAATCACAACTAGAGTAGGCCCATGGAATCAGTGGGGATGTGATGAGTCAAATTCTGTGTAAGTCCCATGGATTCAGTGGGCTTACTCTAGTTGTGACTGATTAGGCTAAGCAATGGGATTTTAGTAACGGTGTTTGCTTCTTGAATTCAGCCCTTGGCACACACAATTGCCTCTTCTTTTTGCCTTTTCGGAAAGTTTTACTTTGCACAGCCCCGTACTTTGTAATTCAGCAGTTGAGTTTGCTAGCATCTGCTGTCCCTTTCTGAAAACTTGGGTTCCTGTACGATACTAATAGACAGTCTAATTTAGATTTTTAGCAAAGGGTGAAAATTAATGAGTTTGGGAGATAAGAAAAGATCAGTGCTTTGGCTCAGGAACTTAACCATTAAACACACACACACACACACAAACTTGCTTCTTGCTCTTGGTGGTGGCGTGTTTCGTTTTATATGATTCCAGCACCTATTCAACAGAATGTCGTCCAAGAAGTGACAGCCTCCCTACAGAAACAAGCGTGCGCATCTCAGCATATGTCTTTGGCTTCCCAGGAGGCGATCCCAGGCTTTATTCTCCCAAAAAGAGGAGCGAGAAGGCATATTCACAAATGGCTCAAACCTTGGGAGGCAGGCTAGCAGATGGAAAGCCAAACTCATACCTTAAACTGCTGTTACCACCAGTAGGTGGTAGAAGCTGTTATGGTTCCTGTACGATACTAGTAGACAGTCTAATTTAGATGGATTATTTTCATTTTTTTTTTAGCAAAGGGTGAAAATTAATGAGTTTGGGAGATAAGAAAAGATCAGTGCTTTGGCTCAGGAACTTAACCATTAAACACACACACACACACACACACACACACACAAACTTGCTTCTTGCTCTTGGTGGTGGCGTGTTTCGTTTTATATGATTCCAGCACCTATTCAACAGAATGTCGTCCAAGAAGTGACAGCCTCCCTACAGAAACAAGCGTGCGCATCTCAGCATATGTCTTTGGCTTCCCAGGAGGCGATCCCAGGCTTTATTCTCCCAAAAAGAGGAGCGAGAAGGCATATTCACAAATGGCTCAAACCTTGGGAGGCAGGCTAGCAGATGGAAAGCCAAACTCATACCTTAAACTGCTGTTACCACCAG